GATAATGCCTAATTCTGAATACAGGTTTTATGTGTGAACCTAATTGGTTCTAGGTACACTGAAAAGTGATTTTTTTTTCTGAAATGACATGAATCAGATTAGCCAAGCTAGATATTCACTAAGAATCTTTAAACTATGATATTTACTGAACGCTTGTAATGTGCTCATTCAGTACTTTTTACTTTGTGCTTTTTTTACTTTTTTATTTGTCCCTTTTTACTATGTGCTAGGCACTGCATTAGGTACTAGGAATTTGAAGATGAATAAGAAAAGGATCCTTTTCCTAAGGATCTTGAGTATGGGGCAAGAGATCTGTAAGTGTTGATATACTGATAAAACTGTTCTGGGTCTGGGAAGTTTGTGGATGACATGCTTTGATGTGCAAAGCCAAGGTCTCCAACACCGTATTCTCCCTCACTGTAGCCACCAGGTACTATCAGGTGTGGCCCTTACAACACTGAAATATTCACTAAAAGATAGTGTGTTGGGGCCAGAGCATAGTACAGCAGGGAGGACATTTGTCTTGCACGTGACTGACCTGGGTTTGATCTCCAGCACCCCATATTGTCCCCCGAGCACCGCCAGGAGTAATTTGTGAGTGCAGAGCCAGTAGTAACCCCTGAGCAACGCCCAAGTGTAACCCAAAAGCAGAAAAATAAAGCCCCACAAAAAGATAAGTGTTCAGGGTGCAGAAATAGATGATCAGTTACAGGAGTTGGTGAGATTTGGGCAAGAGACTTTCTGGAGGAGAGACCCTTACCTAGATACAGCAAAAAATACAACAGAAGCATAAATTTTAATCCAGCTAGGGCACCAAAGGTTGGCTGTGCAACTTAGTGGTTGTATAATCTTGGACAATTCCATAAAAGATGACATAATTTTCTTATTTGTAAAGTAACATAGTTCCCTTACTAGACATTAGAGACTTTTTCAGTAGTTAAATGAGTGTTAGTGGAGAAAATATATACTATCTAGCAGGGCCAGAGTGATAGTAAAGCAGATAGGGCATTATTTGCCTTACATGCAGCTGACCCGAGTTCCATCCTCGGTAGTTTCTGGTGTCCCCTGAGCTCGCTGGGAGTGATTGCTGAGCTCAGAGCCAAGAGTAACTCCTAAGAATTGCCCAGTGTGACCCAAAACCCTAAAATTATATCTGTATGTATATGTTTGCAACTACAACCATAACATGCTATTTAGATGTAAAATTATGGTGTGCTCATTTTTGTTGTTGTGCCTGGCACACACCTGGCTGTATGCCAGAAATTGCACAGTTAGAGCTCTGGGAGTCCCTGCCAGCAGAGCTACTGGGTCACACTCAGCACTTGCTCAGTTAGTGACTTTTTAAGAAAACTTTTGTTTTGTTGTGGGGGAGCTGCACATACTGCAGTGCTGAGGGGCCGTGTGGTGCCAGGGATAGAACTTGGGCCTTCCACATGCAAGCAAGTGCTCAGTGCTGTGAGCTCTCTCCAGTTCATGGTGGCATACTTGTGAGTAAGTAGATGATTCTGTATAGCTTTAAACTTCCATGTTTTTGGCTTTTTTTTTTTTAAGTCACTTTGGTAAGAATAGATTGGGTTTTTAAATCATTTAATTCTAATTTATATTTGCATGTTAAATATGAATTAGCGGCATGCATTTGCTCTCTTCACCTAGATAGGTTTCAGATATATGCCTGGTTTGAGGATTATAGACAGAAGGGTGTCACGTCGGGAGACCAATCTTTGTTTCTGCTTTTGTTCAATTTTACTTTGTGCAGTTATTGACATTTTCTTTCTGGGTACAAGAGAGATAGTATAGGAGCTAAGGTTCTTGCTTTGCATATGGCCAAACCCGGTTCAGTCCCCGCTTGGTGCCCTAAGCATAGAGCCAGGAGTAAACCCTGAGCACTATGAGGGCTAACCTCTCACCCTCCCCCCCCCCAAAAAAATCCTGATTTTTATAGCTATGGAGTCATGGTACTTGTTTCTTTCCTACCAAAAAGGATGAACTTAATTGATGACCTAAAAAATAGGCACACCTTAGTAAAGCCAGGTGAAATTTTTAAAGCTACCTGTCAATCTTCTTACTTTACAGATAAAATAGCTCAATGGGGCTGGAGCGATAGCACAGCAGGTAGGGTGTTTGCCTTGCATGCAGCCAACCCGGGTTCGATTCCCAGCATCCCATATGGTCCCCGGAGCACCGCCAGGAGTAATTCCTGAGTGCATGAGCCAGGAATAACCCCTGTGCATCGCTGGGTGTGACCCAAAAAGCAAAACAAAAAAAAAAAAAGAGGGGTTAGAGACATAGTATGGGGGCTAAGGGTAGGGCTCTTGTCTTGCATGTGGCTGACCCTTGTTTATTTCTGGTACTACATATGGTCCCCTAACACCGCCAGAGGTCACTCTGGAGCACAGAGCCAGGAATAGCCCCTGAGCACTACCAGATGTAGCTCCCATCCCTCCCCCTCCAAAAAAAAAAAAGCTTAAGCCACAAGGTCATTTTATTTATTTATTTGGGGGTTTTGACCACACCCAGCGATGCATGCTCAGGAGCTATTCCTCCCTGTATACTCAGGAATTACTCCGAGCGATGCACAGGGAACCATATGGGATATCAGGGATTGAACCCTGGTGGGCTGTGTGCAAGGCAAGTGCCTACCCACTGTACTATCTCTCTAGTCCTTAGTTTTTAATTTGGGGGGACGTATATAAGGCTTACTCCTGGCTCTGTGCTCAGAGAGCACTCCTGGTAGGACTCGGGATCACATGGAGTGCTGGGATCGAACTTTATTAGTCATGTGCAAGGCATGTACTGGTATTAGACCCCAGATTATTTTGCACAATGTTATGGATGTGGAGGGCAAATATTTATTCTTCAGTCTGCCTCTGAACAGTCTTTGGGCTTCATAGAATAGCCTGCTAATTGGATTCTGTAGTAGGTAAACCTCTCTGTCTCTCTCCGGTTTGGGGCCACACCCAGCAGTGCGCAGGAGTTACTGCATTAAGATTTCACTCTTGGTGGGCGCGGGAGACCATATGGATGCTGGGGGTTGAACCTCAGTCAGCGGCATATAAGGCAAGCACCTTGCTTTACTCATTGTACTATTGCTCTGGCCCTAACATTTTGTTTCTTTTGTTATTTCAGTTTTTTCTCCTTCCTTCTTCCTCTCCATCTTCTTTCCTTTCTTTTTTGCACCACACCCAAGGTGCTCAGGGCTCATTTCTGGCTCTGTACTCAAGGAGCATTCCTAGGGTGCTAGGAATTGAACTGGTTGACTGTTTGCAAGGCAAGCACCTTACCCATGTAAGGGCTCTGGTCCCTGTTTTAATTTCCGTATGTTTCAGTATTGTATGTCTGTTTTGTGGGGTTTGGAGGCATGCTCATTGGTGCTTAAGGACTATTCCCCTAGTTCAGTGCTGGGAAGTCTTTCTCCTAGCAGTGCCCATAGGATTGAGCCTGGTTTTCTGCATGCAAGCCATCTCTCCAAAGTGTATGGCAAAAATAGTTTTACTGGGGCTGGAGCGATAGCACAGTGGGTAGGGCTTTTGCCTTGCACGCGGCCAACCCGGGTTCAATTCCGAGCATCCCATCTGGTTCCCTGAAACCACCAGGGGTAATTCCTGAGTGTAGAGCCAGGAGTAACCCCTGTGCATCACCAAGTGTGACCCACAGAGCAAAAAAATAAATAGTTTTACTGAAACAAATTGACTTGAGATAGAGCTAGAGACATTGTACAGCAAGTAGGATACCTTCCTTGCACTGGGCCAACCTGGGTTCAATCCTTGGCACTCCATATGTCTCTGAGCACTGCCAGGTGTGGCCCAAAAATTACTCCTAAAAAAGAAAAAAAAGATATTAGAGAAGTGTGAAAGGACAAAAGAGAAATAATATATTTAAGAGGGAATATGGGCTTTTCCAAAGTAGCAAGTATTTCTCTGACTTTCTTCTGCTTTCTGTTTTTCAGGTTTATTTTCTTTTTCTTTTTATCTATTGGATAACACTTAAACCAGTATTTGTATTTTATACTATTACACTGTTTACTCACTAATGTTGTCTTATTCTTTTTTATTGGATTTTGGACCACATCCAATGATGCTCAGGCTTACTGCTAGCTTTGTGCTCAGAGATCACTCCTGGTGGGATACTGGGGACAGAACCCAGGTCAGCCGTGTGCAAGGCAAACTCCCTATTTGTTGTACTATTGCTCTAGCCCCTGATGTCTTATTCTTTAATATTTTTAACAACTTTGTTTTGAACTTATCCATACTACCTAGAGAGATTTTTTGATACAGGTGGCACCCGTGTTAGAGGTGAAACTTGAGATACTATGTGCCGTTATTGGTAGACTGGAGGCTTTTTTTTTCTTTTTTTGCTTTTTGGGTCACACCCACTGATGCACAGGGGTTACTCCTGGCCCCTGCGCTCAGGAATTACTCCTGACGGTGCTCAGGGAACCATATGGAATGCTGGGAATTGAACTCAGATTGGCCTCATGCAAGGCAGACGCCCTACCTGCTATTGCTCCAACCCCCAGGGCTTGTTTTTTTAACTTTTAAAAAATAATTTTTAATACAAAACGTCACCAGAATTTTAGTTAAGCAGCAGGTAATTCCTTTCAGGAATGAAATATAGCACGGACTCCTGAAACAGGAGAATTTTTTTTTTCTTCTGTAGTTACGCTTTCACCTTCAGTGATTATCAGTATGCCAGAGGCAGTAATAGATACTGGAGAAAAGGAGATATGAGAAATGTCTTATTTTTCCCCTAAAAGTGAAGATAAAGGGCCCAAGTTATAGTAAATAGCAGGTAAGACACTTGCCCTTTGCTGACCTAGGTTTGATCACTGGCATCCCATATGGTCCCCCGGGCGCCAACATGAGTGATTCCTAAATACAGATCCAGAAATAAACCCTCAACACTGTCAGGTATGGCCCCCAAACCACCTCCCCCATCGGGGATTGGGGGAGGAGTAGAGGAAAGATAAGATATTTTATATTTTTTGCTATTTTTTTAACTCTAAAAAATGGAATTTCCTCTTTTCAAAGCACATGTCATCCTTACACAAGACCATGCTAATCTTCTCAGTATTTTTCCAGGTTTAGCATAATCTACAAAGCTAGGGCAGAGTTTGTGTCTTTTTAGCGAAAACACCACCAGTATTCATATAGTAGAAAACTAGGAATATTTGAGTTGGTTTGATACTTACCTATCATTATGTCATTTCATAACATTTGTTCAAGGTGATAGATTTCCTGCATTCTTTTTTGAGGTGGGTGGGGCACACCAAGCAGTGCTTAGGGCTTACTCCTGTCTCTGCACTCAGGGATCATTTCTGGTAGGCTTGGGGGACCATATGGGGTGCCGGGGATCAAGCCTAGGTTGGCCATGTGGAAGGCAAATGTACTCACTGTACAGATCCCGTACATTCTTAATATTTTATATACTCAGTGATAAAAGATTATAGGATTTCTCTAAAGCCTTGGCTGACCTGATTTCAGGGATATAAACCCAGAGGAGAGTAAATAGGGATTGTGTAGTACCTGCTGTAGTCATCCTATGGAGAGCAAGCGATGTGCCACTAAGTTTCAGGATCTAGAGAGCAGAAAGGGACAGCATATGCCTGGAGGCAGGCTCCATTATTGTAGCACCAGCATATAGACTTCTAAACAATCTTTATGTTCTTTTTTATTTTCTAGTGGGGGGGGGGACAAGTGGGATCACACCTGGTGATGCCTTGAGGCTGATTCCTGGTTCTTCATTGAAGGACTACTCCTGACAGGACTCGGGAACCATCTGGGGTGCTGAGATTGAACCTGGGTCAACCGCAAGCAGGGCAGAGGCCCGACCCACTGTGTTATTGCTCCAGCTCCTAGCGTCTGTTTTTGATATAAATGTTCACTAAGTAAAATAAACAGTTTTTTCTCAATGAGACACTAGGACATGGTCTCAGAAAACATTTTACAGTAATAAATTTGAGACAGTTTTGTAGAGGTCCACCTTGTTTTGGTGAATATTTTTTATATATAATATTTGTCTTGTTTCATATATACTTAAATGTTGCATGTTGTTTCCTCTCTGAGACTGTTCCTTGCACTTACTGTTTGCCTGACAAGATCCATTTCATTCCTTAAGATCTAGATTACAGTTCCTGTCCTTAAAGCTGAGCACCTGCACCCATTTTATTTATCTTCTGTTTGTTTTTCTTCCATACCTGGCATAGCTCAGGGCTTACTTTTGACTGTTCTCAGGATTTACTCCTGGCTCTCTGATCAAGGATCACTCCTGGCAGTGCCCAGGGTACCATATGTGGTGCCAGAATTGAAATGGGGTCAGCCACATGCAGGGCAAGCTCCTTCCCAGTTTTACTATCTTTCTGGCCCCTTTGGTTATTGTGTAACTGATGGAAATTATGCTAACTGCTGTTACTACACTCATCACACTAGAACAGTTATTTGTTATTTTGTCTTCCCTGCCACATGAGAAACTTCCATGAGACCCCAGCTCTTTGCAGCTGGGTCTTTTCCCTCCTTCACTCCGTTTCGTTCTCCTCCCTTTCCTTCTTGTTTTCTTCCTTCTGCAATAAAAGTTTTTATCTGTAGATAACATCACACACCTTTTGATGAAAATTACTTGGTTTAACATTTTTTATTCTTGGTAGCAAAAGGAATGTTTCACTTCCTTCATGGTAGTTGCTTTTACAAATATTTTATTACTCAGTATTTCATAGATTTAATAAATAGGGAGAGAGCTATTGTTAGCAAAAACTAAGAATCTCAGATTTGGGGAGGGATGTTCTATACCCTTTAGTGCTCAGGGGCTAGTCTTGGCTCTGTGTTCAGGAGTTACCCCTGGTAGTGCTTGGGGGATTTTAGGGGGACAGGCAAGTACCTTAACCTCTGCTTGGTCCCTTAGACCTCTTAACTCTAAAATAAGGAATCACTCCTGGTGGTGCTCAGTGGGCCAAATGGGATGCTAGGGATTGAACCTGTGTCATCCCTGTGCAAAGCAAGCACCTTACCCACTGTGTATATCTCTGTCCAGTTTGTTTGTTTGTTTGTTTGTTTAATAGCAGCTTAAGACCTAACAATTTTATTTCCCTTTCACTTGTGTCTTAAAAAAAAAAGTTCCCTGAAATAAAAATTTGGTTATCAGGGTCAGCGATATAGCAGGAAGGGCATTTGCCTTGTTTGCATCTGGCCTGGGTTCATTCCCCGGTGTCCATTAAGATCCCTTGAGCACCACCAGGAGTGATCCCTGAGCATTGCCAGGTGTGGCCCAAAAGCCCCTCCAAAAAAAAAAGTTTGGTTATGAGACTCAGTGATAAAAAGCATATTTCACATGTGTCAGACAGTGGGTTCAGTCTTAAGTGTCACACAGAAAATAAATAAAATAAAGGTAATGGCCGAGAACAGAGGCATGCCTGTCACTGAGGCAGTGCTACTAAGATTAAGACTCCTTTCATTTCTTGTCACCCTGAAATAAGTGATCACTAATATTTTTCTGCTCAGACTGAATCATCTCCACTCAGCTCCTTTCCATCTTTATTATAATCTGCTACTTTTCTGATATTTTATAGCCATTAATGGTCATGATACTTCGGTGTAACTTAAGTTCTCAGATAAGATGATGATATTTTAGGTGTAGCAGTATAAAGTGGTTATTTTATATGACTTTTTACCTAGCTGGTTTTTTGTTGTTGTTGTTGTGTTTTGTTGTCTTTTTTTTAATACCACGCTCAGCAGTGCTCAGGGTTTAATCCAGACTCTCTGCTCAGGGATCACTCTTGGAGGGGCTCAGTGAACATAAGGGGTGTTGGAGATCAAACCCAGGTCTGCCACCTTATAAGGCAAGCATCTTACCCACTATACTATCTCTCTGCCCCCTAATATTATTCTTTTTGGCTAGTGGTCAGCTTTTTCTTTCATTATCAGAAGAAACTGCAGGTTTTTAATACTTTTTTTTTCCTTTCTTTTGCATTTTTGCATTTTGGATCACACCTTGCGTTGTATAGGGGTTACTCCTGGCAGTGCTCCAGGGACCAAATGGAATGCTGGGAATCGAACCCAGATCGACCAAGTGCAAGGCAAATGCCCTACCCACTGTGCTATTGCTCCAGCCCCAATACTTTTTTTCTTACTGGTATTTAATGTTCCCTACAGAATACTTCACCTTTTTGTTCTTCTAGCTAAAATTATTTTTATCAAAAAGATCTAGGAAAGAAAACTACAAGATATCTCCTCTCTTCTCTGCCTTCTAATGATGTCTGATAGTTTGAGAAGTCTGAAGGCAAGTTCTTTTAGGTTACTGTCATGTTAGTCTATTTCAAAATTTTGCTGTGTCTTATGGAAGCTTATGGGGACGTAGGCATGCTATTTCTTGCCAAGAAAGCGTAGACAGTCTTCTGATCTACTCCAGAAAATAAAAGGTGAGTGTTAGTAGTCAGTTATTAAGGACAACAATACAAAAAGTTTTGGTGGTTTTATTCATAAGGAAGCCTTCTAGAGGGACAGACAGTAGCTCAGAGGGTTGGAGCACAGATCTGGCATGCAGAGGTACCCGGGTTCCGTCCCAGCATAGCATGGTCACCTTAGTATCACTGGGAGTGGTGCCCAAAAATACTTCCAAACCTTAACTCCCTAGTTTGTGCAAATATACTAATAGATTCAGATTTCACATTTTTTTCAAGGCACTCCTGCCTAAATAAATTGCAGCAAACCCTCAAAAGAATAAAACGTTATGGGTGGATTAGCAGTGGCGGCCCCAGCATTGGCCCCAGTTGGACCTCATTGCCAGACAATATAGCCTTGATCCTTCCTGTACTGTTGTCTGATTATCACTAGGAGTTATCGTCTAGGCTCTCTGATCAGTGCTCCTCCCAAGAAAATACTTCAGTGAGAAATGGATAAGAACAGATTATACAAAACTGAGAATGAAGCCTTGAATTGGAAATTGGTTCACTAAAAAGTGCGTGGCCACCGTGTGTTGGATAGGCTCGCAGATAAGCCTGGGACACTACTCTTTTTTTCTTTTTCATTCTTAGATTTGATCAGGTTCTGTTTTCTTTTCAGTTGTCTTCTTCATCCTTTAAGAAATACAATAGTTTCAGAAGTAATTTTTGTGGGGAAAAATTCATCTAAGGATTATGATTAGAATTCTGAAAAACTGAAAGGTTATATATTTGTTCAGCTCACATATATCAGTGCTTTCTGGGTGACCTAAAAGATACAGGGGAAGCACAATGGCCCGGTTCTGTGCCAGAGACATTTTATTTTAACTTTACTGTAGCCTGTGATACCATAATTATTCCTGTTTTCTGAGAATAGTGTATCTCATCCCAGGTCACACTAATTGAGTTGAACCTGAAGTGGAATGTTGACACACACACACACCAGATTGTGCTCAGGGATCACTTTGGAGTGGGGGGGCTCAGGGAGCCAGGCAATCAAACCCAGGTAAACCAAATGCAAGGCAAGTGCTCTACTATTTCTCGGGCCCCACTTTCCCTGCCCCCCATTTTGGGCCATACCTAAGCACAGTGCTCCTGAGATCCTGCTAGCAAACTATGGAACCAGAAATGAATGGATTTAAGCTCTGTGGAGTCAGCTGACAGGTGCCATCTTGACAGCCGTCTCAGCCTAGCTGACTGAAGTGCTGGTGTGCACGTAATGAGACTCATTCTCTTTAGCAACACCCGAGGGCAGATCCCTGAGGAGAGCTCCACCCACCCCTAGCAAATAGCTGTGCTGGCCTGGGGGCTTAGAGACAGTTATCAACAGTGCTTTCTTCTGGGCTTGGAAGATAGCATCAGTGCTTGCCCCAGACTGAATTTGATCCTTAGGGTCACATGACCTCCTGAGTATTGCTGTTTTAGCTCTGGTGACAGCCAACAAGACTGGTTAACCGCCCCAAAAGTGTGCTTACTACCAGATCCTGACCCCTTCCAGGCTACATCTAACTGCTATTAAGCAAGCCACATTCCTGCAGACATAAAGCAACATGCAGCTCTCAGACAGAGAAAAATAGTCAGTTCTGCACCTTTTGTATTCCTTAGCAGCTCATGGCCAGTTAGCTTCTGTCTTTGTGACTAGAACAGCTAGTAGTTGCTGGGCACTAGGGACCTTGAGCC